TCCAAATGGGAAAAATTTGCGGCCTCAATGGGAGTCGAACCCACACAGCAGGAAAGGCCTTTGCGCAGCCAACACTCCACTATACTAAGCTACGAGGCTCACCTTGAGCCGTGAATTTAATCACAGTTGTGTCGATTTTGCTTGCCTAGATTTACTGCACGTATGGAATCAACCAATATGGGCACAGTAAGCTGACTACCAGGCCGTTGGCTGCGCACAAGCCTTCCCTGCTGTGTGGATTCGGCTTCCACCGAGGCCGCGAATTTTTCACAATTAAGTTAATCGAATTATTGAAATCTGCCAAACCCCTAACAACAAAGGTTAGCTTAGTATTACATCCGGTGGATTCTAGATGGTTACTAAGGAAATTCTGCCTGGCAGTCAGATTACTGTATCCGTAATGGTGGACTCCTTACGTGCAGTAAAGCTGGGTTGAAAAATCGACAAAGTTTAATTAAATTCACGGCTCACTGTGAGCCTCCTCGCTCAATGGTGGAGCTCTGGCTGCGTAAAAGCCTTCCCTGCTGTGTGGGTTCGACTCCCACCGAGACCGCCAAGTTTTTTAAAATTGGGTCAACTGAAAACATTGTTAATACACGTGATCGCAACAAGGAGTCCGTGGCTCAACGGTTAGGGCGTTGAACTTCTAGCAAATAAGTCACAGGTTTGACCCTCCGGTATGAGAAAAACTGCAGTTTTTGTATAATTGGCTGGGGACAGCTAATAAGGGGCCTTTCCAGTCCCGCTGGTCATTGTCAGTAATACTGTCGTGTCTACTTTCTGTCGGAAAGTCATTTAAGCGAGCTGACTCAGTGTCTTATGAGCTTTTGCCACTGTCCTATCGTAACGGGAATTGACATAACAAGCCCAACAGTCGAAAAGTCCAGCACAAAAAACTGAAACCTACCTCAGACTGCGGGCGTCCATCCATTTATTGCTCATTGTTTTTTTAATTCAAAAGCCTCATTTGATCCTTCCCCTCGCCCTAGTGTCATCTCATGGAGTGCTAACGTTCCCCCCAGGCCTAACTCATTGAAAGACAGGGGGATGCTAGGCGAGGTTCGTTAACGGCGGCATTTAAGTAGCGAACCGCTCGCGGGGAGGGGGGTATGTAAGCGCCGACCTTATTAATGTATTGAGTAAACGGACACAGAGAGCAATTTCTACAAAGGCATGCTTTTAAGGTAAATGAAAGGAATATAGACATGAGATGGAGGGGGTAGGTCACGATAGCAGCGTTTAGTGATGAGGGGCCGGATTAGTCTTTGACAAAGGGGGAGGGGGGGAAGGAGGGTGAGGGTTTATTGCCAGGACTAGCCGCGCTCAAATCTCAATCTTCGACTCCGTGAGGTCCACCCGTTGACCAACGCCGTAAGAGCAGAAGCAGCGACCCTCATTCACAAAGGAGACGGCGCCACGTTTGTCCTTTATCGGCATGAACCCGTACTGTGGTGTCAGAACCTTGGTCAGATCACCGATGATCACGGGACAGAGCACGGAACCGTCCTTCTTGTCCTTAACGAGCACGGAGATTTGGCCCTCGAAGATACTCTCCACACGAAAGTGTCCGTCATACTCGTCCTCAGTTATCACAAGGTCGGCCTTAGTGCGACATCCGGGTGGAACCACAATCTAATAAAACGGATGCACAAGATTATATGTATGATAGGGTTAAGGGTTATAAGCATGGACGATGAGGGCCTTACTAAAAACTATAAACAAAAGTATTCAATTCAAAATATATACATTACTATAGTAAGTAGGTGCTCATCGATCGGTTACGAAAGTCACTCGTCCCCTTGTGCCTTGGAGCTTGCTCCCGAACCCAGCCAGCAGCCGCCCAACGGCTAGCGTACATTATAGGCAGAAATGTAGTGACTAGCTCGCGTCGAAGTGAACTC